TCTGCCTGCTGTGTTCGGAACGATCGCTCTGGCTGCGTCCAGACTTCAGAGGAGGAATGCTCGGTCTGTAAAAACATCCACGTCTTTATTCCACACATCTATGAGAGGCAGCTGTGGGCTCTCTGATCCTCTCTGTTTACATTTGTAGAGTACTCTAGCTGAGTGGGTGAAGTGGCCGAAGCATCCCAGCACTCCCCAGTTAAATGGTAAAGACAGGCAGTACGGCTCCGTGTGCCACCAGGACCCAAGGTAAGGCCCAGGTTTTTAAATGAAGCTTAAAATTTCACATTTACTTATGAAACATTTATTTTTCTACTTGCAGGATATGTTTGGAGCCTGCGTCGGTGTCGCCTCACGAATGGCCTGATGACATAACAAAGTGGCCTGTGAGTAATTTCAAATCCTGCAGACTGTTTAGGATGTAAACATCTAGATTCGAGTTGGGAAATAAGCAGATGTCTTAAGTAATCCCATTCTGTCCCGCTCTGAACTTGAGACAGTTCTCCACACCTTCATCTCCTCACGCTTAGACTACTGTAACTCTCTTTTCACGTGTCTGAGCAGAACCTCCCTGAACCGTCTACAGGTGGTTCAGAACGCCTGTGCTCGGCTTCTGACCAAGTCCTCCAAACACAACCACATCACCCCGCTTCTCCTCCAGCTTCACTGGCTGCCAGTCAACTTCAGGGTTCATTTCAAGATCCTGGTTCTGGTCTATAGGGCCTTACATGGACAAGCACCATCTTACATTGGTGATCTTCTTAGTCCCTACACCCCCAGCAGGTCCCTGAGGTCCAGTGATCAAAGCCTACTGGTTGTGCAGCACCAGGCTAAAGACCAAAGGTGACAGATCATCTGCTGCTGTGGCCCCCAGACTCTGGACCTCTCTCCCCCTGAGCCTGAGATCAGTGGACTCAGTGGTCTCCTTCAAAAAGCAGCTGAAGACTCACTTGTTCAAGCTGGCTTTTGTATGACCTTCTTCACCTCTCTCTCTTTATTCTGCTCTCCCCACCTATCCCACCTTCCTCAGGATCCACTGATTTCCCTCTTTCCTGTTCACTCTCTCTCTTTCTTAACATTTTTTTAATCACAATTGCCTATTTATGCTCATTTTAATATATTTTTAAACATTTTCTAAATGCTTTTTTATATTTTTACAATTTTTGTTTTTTGTGAAGCGCCTCATGATTTTTATCTTGAGGCGCTAGAAATGATATTTTCTTCTTCTTCTTCCTCTTCTTCTATTAATGTTTTACATCAAGTCTTTGTCACAGGATAAGTGTGATGCACAATTACCAATAAAGCTAAATCAGGTCAGAAGATGCAAAAGGAGACATTCCAATTCGATGTAAAGAAACTCATTTTTCATCTGTGTCATTCCTAAGAAATACAAACCAGCCAACCCATGCATTCTGTGGCTTCACCTTTTGGCTTTTAGATCTTGAGGCCACAACAATCAGCTAAATTAGGTTTTTAGGTGTTAAGTCATTTTACTACAAAACCTAAAGTACGAGCATTTTTTAAATAGACTGAATTAAAAGAGGCAGACGTAACCCAACACTGAAACTTTTGTTTACTGTTAGTGCACAGTGTTGGGAGTAATGCGGTACAGAAGTAATTAATTACTGTAATGCATTGCTTTTTGTTGTAATGTGGTAATGTAAGGCATTACAGGGAAAGAAAATGGTAATATTTACTCGGTACAATTGTCAGTAACGCGGTAATTACAATGCATTTTAAACCCAGAATCAAGATGCGTTTCTTAAAAATTCAAATTGCGGGAAACCCGAAGAAAGATCCAGTATCTGCATATATTACGTCATTTATGGACTCAGCTTTGCAGGCAGAGAGGACGTAGTGGTACCGGCTCAACTACTCCAGCTGCGTCCTCCACGCGGCCGCTGTAACATTCACAACATCGCTCCACTAAAACAAAATAATTCACCTGCGATCGTTCATATCAGCGCATGTTCTCTGGTATTCTGTACTTTTCTGACGTTCATCTGAGTTAATCTGTGCCCCGGTGATTTTAACTCATTGCTGCTGGAGCGCCGGGCATGTGAAGATCCCTTTGGCTGATCGTTAGAAAGTAGGAAGTCTAGGAAACAGTTTTTTCTGGAAGACGGAGAGAACATGCAGCATGCAGGACGGTTAGAGAGAGAAAGGGCAGGAAATTATTCAAATAAAAGATAGAAGGTAGATTTATCCCCAATACTCATTTTTACCAGTGAAAAGCAATAATATATAAGCATTTAATATTTATACATGTGATAGAATCAGATCACCCCAGAAGTCAGTCCCACATCCAGGGCCGTATCAAGGCATTTGGGGAACAAGGCTAAATAGACTTGGAGCCCCCACCACCTCACTCGCCGCTCAGTTAATCTAAGATGGCAGCGTGCTGAGAGTACAGATTGTTGTTTCATTTATTTCATAAACAATCCTTCTAAAGATCTGTTTTTAACAGCAATCCTAGCTCAGACACCGCATCACTTTCCACCGGATGTGTCATGAGTTCACCAGGCATCAGATTACCAAACTCATACTGAAGTTGTTTTGTTGAAAGTAACTTAGAGTAATGCAAAAGTAGTGTAATGCCTTACATTTTAAAAACAGTAATATTGTAATGTAATGAATTACTTTAAAATGAGGGTAACAAGTAATAAATAATGTATTACAGTTTCAAAGTAACTTGCCCAACACTGTTAGTGCATCATTGTACCTGCATGTAAAATGCTCCAAATCCACCAAGAGGCTCATCTACTACTTTTCTGTTCTGGTTGTCAGATTTGTACCAGGTACAACACAGGAAACCACACCAACCTGCCTCACATAGACTGCACCATCACAGGCCGACCCTGCTGCATCGGAACCAAAGGGAGGTGAGGAGTGCTGTAGAAATCAACTTAGCTCGACACGTTTGTTATTTGTTGTAGCAACTCCTTATGGAAATACATTTTCACATATTTAGAAAGATATTTCCTCTTTAATGGTTGTAAGAAAGATGCATTTAGAGGAAAGTATTTGAGTTCCTAACAAAATCTTCCCTGCCAACGTCTCTTTGTTGAGCTCCCGTACAGCAGGTGCTGCTAATTAGTTGCTGGATTAGCGGCACCTGTGAGAGCTGACCCCGCTCCAAAGGTTTGAATGCTTTGTTAAGTTTATAATTAGCTAAATTGTTGATTATCTTCATTCTTAGTTGATCTAATTTAATAAAAGACACCAAACTAAAGTCAAAATCTTTTTGGCCGGCATCTGTCTCTGATGCAACCCATGGATGTGGTTTCCTTACAGATGTGGCTCAGAGGAGAGAAATAACCAATCAGACACACTTCCTCAGGGTTTGACTGGAGTGTTAAAAAAGCTTGAAGCTGGACTGATCTCAGACGACATGGCTCTGATTCATGACTGTTGCTTTTGTTTCTTTAAGGTGTGAAATCACATCCAGGGAATATTGTGACTTCATGAAGGGCTACTTTCACGAGGAGGCGACGCTCTGCTCTCAAGTAAGCAGCCCCACCAACCACACTACAGTTTGCATATTTTAATGAAAAAGAAAATAACTAATTAAACGACGAGAACCCCTAAAAACACGTATGGACCTTGTCTGATTATTGATTACCAAATGGCACGTGCATGTTCCACATACTGCTCCCTAGACTCACCTGCTGTGTCTGTACACAGGTGCATTGCATGGACGATGTCTGTGGACTGCTGCCTTTCCTCAACCCGCTGATTCCAGATCAGTTTTACAGACTCTGGCTCTCTCTCTTCCTGCACGCAGGGTGAGTCATCAGTTGGCAGAATCTGTGAAAGAGATTTAGCTTGTTCTGGTAAACTTCAAAAACAGGACAAAACATACCCAAATCTTGGAAAGTACCAAGTTAGTAATAAATGCCATTCAGATGAATAATCAGTGTGTTTTTATACGGTTTTATGCATCTCGTCTGAGTTTTTACTAAAAGTTTCAAATGTAAGATTTTCAAATGCAAAACTGACTGTTTTACATTTTTTTATCTAACAAAAGAAGCAAAAATAGAAATATGTAACTAATATTTGTAAAAATAGATTTAATAGAAACTACTCTTGTATTTAGTGTCTTGTCTTACTAGATTATTTTGTTTTGTAATCTTGATTACTCTTCTCTGTCCTGAGCTGTGGTAACACACACACACACACACACATCTCCCCCTTGTGCGATCAGTAAATACTTATCTTAGCTCTGTGTGTAGGCTCGTTCTAAAACTGTAGTATCCAACTCTTCAAAATGTAACCATGGTGATAAACGCAGACAAAAGGTGAATCATTCATTCCTACTGGAGACCACTGCAAATGTATAACACAAAAGTAAATCTATTATAAGGCTGAAAATGCACAATTTAAATAGGAAGGGGAGAAAACATCTAGCAAAATAAATCAATTACAAAACACACACACACACACACACACACACACACACACACACACACGACTGGCAGTGAGTCCTTGAAAGAGAAACCTTTATTAAAAGATCAGAATCGATATCGGTCACATGCACAGAGGCTGACTCTGGTTTCCTGGAAGTTCATAAACCACCAAAAGATAAATGGTCTATTGGAAATATCAAAGTTTTTCACTGCTTGTGTTACAAGTTTGCGACCAAACCAGTTTGTGTGGAGGTGTAGTAAATGACTCCAGCCACCCGGCCCATCACTCCCAGTTCTAACCTGCATTCGCTCCAGCGGGCTAACAGCTTTTCAGCGTGTCAGTCAGGGCGAACAGATTCCTCACACTTAAGAAGAGTAGTCCTTCATCGATGTCATCTGTTGCCGTCTCCTGGATAATTACCAGAGTGGCCTCTCTACGTGAACCCATTAAGCTTCAGTCAGATGGAGGCTGATTCTGCTGAAGTGCAAAGTCATCCCTGCTTCTAGAGGTGGGCCTGTTCTCAACAGAAGGATTAGCCTCTCTGCACGTGCTGTCAAAGTCACGTTCACACACACACACACACACACACACACACACACACATGAACATGTGTCTGTCTGTCCTCCCAGGATCCTTCACTGCCTGGTTTCGGTGGCGTTCCAGATGACTATCCTGAGAGATTTGGAGAAACTGGCAGGCTGGCTGCGCATCTCAATTATTTACATCCTCAGTGGCATCACTGGGAACTTGGCTTCAGCCATCTTCCTGCCCTACAGAGCCGAGGTGAAACGGCCCCAGACTGTGTGAAATCCACCAGATATTTATAATTCATATGATGCGTTTGTGTGAGGGATTATTATAAACGAACGTTTTGTTGTGCCTCTGTCTCAGGTGGGCCCAGCAGGCTCTCAGTTTGGGATCCTGGCCTGCTTGTTTGTGGAGTTGTTTCAGAGCTGGCAGATCCTGGCTCAGCCCTGGAGGGCCTTCACCAAGCTGCTGTGTGTGGTGCTTTTCCTCTTTGCCTTTGGACTGCTACCATGGATCGACAACTTTGCCCATATTTGTGGCTTCATCTCCGGCTTCTTCCTGTCCTTCGCCTTCCTTCCCTACGTCAGCTTCGGCCGCATGGACCTGTACCGCAAACGCTGCCAGATCATCGTCTTCCTGCTGGTGTTTGTTGGTCTGTTTTCAGGCCTTGTGGTGCTCTTTTACGTCTACCCAATCAAGTGCGAATGGTGCGAACTGCTCACCTGCATCCCCTTCACAGACAAGTTTTGTGAGAAGTATGACCTGAACGCTCACCTACACTGAAGCAGAGGCGCGGGGTGAGTGGAAACAAGATGGAGGAGTGTTTTCTCTGTGAACGAAAATGGTTGTTTTCTTTTACTGTGTTATGGATACCTGTACTCCTCATAAGGACTTCCTTTACTTTCCTGTTTACAGGCAGCCGTTGTCAGTCCTTTACTGTCTAGTGAAACAAAGCTATGGCCCTTCAGTAACTCATCACGGTTTAACTTTACTAGAGAGGCAGCGCTGGTACAAGGAGGATCCTTTTCTACATTCACAATCTGAGAAAACTACATTTTTCTGATGATTCAGGCAACCTCACAGCAGAAGCAGGGACAAAACTCTTTATACCTTTGGTGCCTTCTTGATAAATGTTCCAACTACTGCCATATTTTTGTTACATTATGCTGAGCACTCGAATGTTTCCTTTGTTTATTGCTTCTCGAGAAGTGATTATTGTTTTGGTCACGGTAGTGTTTTAGCTACCCGTCTACACTCGTGTAACTGAAAACAGTAAAGAAAAAACCCTGAAAAATGTCTGCTGTTTTTTTTTTTTATTCTGAAGATACAGTGGGGCAAAAAAGTATTTAATCAGCCACCGATTGTGCAAGTTCTCCCACTTAAAATGATGACAGAGGTCAGTAATGTACATCATAGGTACACTTCAACTGTGAGAGACAGAATGTGAAAAAAAATCCATGAATTCACATGGCAGGATTTTTAAAGAATTTATTTGTAAATCAGGGTGGAAAATAAGTATTTGGTCAATAACAAATTCAACTCAATACTTTGTAACATAACCTTTGTTGGCAATAACAGAGGTCAAATGATTACTATAGGTCTTTACCAGGTTTGCACACACAGTAGCTGGTATTTTGGCCCATTCCTCCATGCAGATCTTCTCGAGAGCAGTGATGTTTTGGGGCTGTCGCCGAGCAACACGGACTTTCAACTTCCTCCACAGATTTTCTATGGGGTTGAGGTGTGGAGACTGGCTAGGCCACTCCAGGACTTTCAAATGCTTCTTACGGAGCCACTCCTTTGTTGCCCGGGCGGTGTGTTTGGGATCATTGTCGTGTTGGAAGACACAGCCACGTTTCATCTTCAAAGCTCACACTGATGGAAGGAGGTTTTGGCTCAGAATCTCACGATACATGGCCCCATTCATTCTGTCCTTAACACGGATCAGTCGTCCTGTCCCCTTAGCAGAAAAACAGCCCCAAAGCATGATGTTCCCACCCCCATGCTTCACAGTAGGTATGATGTTCTTGGGATGCAACTCAGTATTCTTCTTCCTCCAAACATGACGATTTGAGTTTACACCAAAAAGTTCTACTTTGGTTTCATCTGACCACATGACATTCTCCCAATCCTCTGCTGTATCATCCATGTGCTCTCTGGCAAACTTCAGACGGGCCTGGACATGCACTGGCTTCAGCAGCGGAACACGTCTGGCACTGCAGGATTTGATTCCCTGCCGTTGTAGTGTGTTACTGATGGTGACCTTTGTTACTGTGGTCCCAGCTCTCTGCAGGTCATTCACCAGGTCCCCCCGTGTGGTTCTGGCATTGTTGCTCACCGTTCTCATGATCATTTTGACCCCACGGGATGAGATCTTGCGTGGAGCCCCAGATCGAGGGAGATTATCAGTGGTCTTGTATGTCTTCCATTTTCTGATAATTGCTCCCACAGTTGATTTTTTCACACCAAGCTGCTTGCCTATTGTAGATTCACTCTTCCCAGTCTGGTGCAGGTCTACAATTCTTTTCCTGGTGTCCTTCGAAAGCTCTTTGGTCTTGGCCATAGTGGAGTTTGGAGTCTGGGTGTTTGAGGCTGTGGACGGGTGTATTTTATACAGACAATGTGTTCAAACAGGTGCCATTAATACAGGTAATGAGTGGAGGACAGAAAAGCTTCTTAAAGAAGACGTTACAGGTCTGTGAGAGCCAGAGATTTTCCTTGTTTGAAGTGACCAAATACTTATTTTCCACCCTGATTTACAAAGAAATTCTTTAAAAATCCTGCCATGTGAATTCATGGATTTTTTTTCACATTTTGTCTCTCACAGTTGAAGTGTACCTATGATGAAAATTACTGACCTCTGTCATCATTTTAAGTGGGAGAACTTGCTCAATCGGTGGCTGACTAAATACTTTTTTGCCCCACTGTATGTGACTGAGCATTGTTGTGTAGTTTATTTAAACCGAGCAACAATAAAACAAAACATTTCTGTTACTGATGTTCAACTCATATTTTATTCCATTTTTAGTGATCTGTGTAGCTCCTCCACAGCACCAAATAATAAAACTCATCACAGCTTCTGATTCAAGCTGATAAAAAAACATTTTATAAATATTTACAACAGATTTTTGGATTGATTGTGTCTGCACCTCTTTTGCACAAATTACATTATAAACAGTCAGGTAAACATGAAGCGTTGTGCTACTGATAAGACAACATGAGCCGATGCCTGATAATCCACTTTAACTGCAAAAGATGACAAATTCATGTTGATTGAAGATTTGAATCCACCTTTAGTCCTTTCCATTCACACGAGATGCTGAACCCAGCCAACAGATTCAATTGGCTCTTTTCTTCTATTTTTACATATTTTCTGTCCTGAGTCCAAATAATTGAAGAAAAGGCTAACAGCCGCTGTTCCGCCGCGCGTATGCCTGCCCACCAAGCAGGTACTCCATCTCTTGGAAATTCAAGTTGGACACGGAGATTTCTGACGGCCCTTTTTCTTTGAAACCAGCCTTGAGATAGAAGGGCACGAGAAAGTCCTCGCAGATCAGCAGGGCTCGACGGAGACCCGGCACGCAGCGCAGGTACTGCAGGTAGCGCCACAGAAGGATGGAGCCCTTGCCCTGCTGTCGACAGTGGCGATGCACAGACAGCACGTGGATGTGCACAGCGGGGGTGTCTGGAACATGCCGAGTCATGGCCTCCTGAAAAAAGAAAGCTTGTCATGTCAGCTTTTTAACCCAAATAAATAATAGTTTTAGAGAATTGCAGGTTTTGTTATTATGTTAAAGTACCTGTGAAAGCCTGTCCTTGTCCCAGCCTGAGCCGATGATGAAAGCGACCAGCTGTCCCTCTTCGAACCAGCCCAGGGACAACTCAGGACACAGAACCAGGAAATTAAGCACCTCATCCAGAGTGAGTGGACACTCTCCAGACACAGACACAAAGGCTGGGTGGCATTCAGACCATGATCATTATCAAAGGAGTAGTTATGATGAGCAAAACACACTCAAGTCTAAACGGATGATGGGCTTGAATATTTGAGTTACGACACGTTTACAACATATTTTAAAAGACAGTAGAAGGTTTAACACAAAGCTGAGCTCTATGTACTCGGTCAGACATTTAGATAAGTTTAGACTTGCCTTCTCTCTCAATTTCCAACACGCTGATGGCATCCTGGGGTGTGAGGTTTCTGAACTCACTGGCAGGAAGTGTGTGTCGTCTCTGCTGCCGAGGGCCGTCCCGTCTGACCGGTGTCTTCAGAAAGAACGGCTTCAGAAACGGTGACCCGCTGACCTGCTTTGTCATCATAACTGAATACTGCGCTAAACCGGAGCTGCAGACTATTTTACAAAACCTCTTCTGTTTGTGCCTCCTCTCTTTCAAGCCCTTTGCATCAGAATTTGAATCAGGCAGTCAGCTGAGCCAAACTTCTCCTGTGGTCCACCTGGCTTCAACTGGCAAGATGCTGACCTCCGTGCCTCCTTTTCTGTCTCCTCATCTTCATTCTGTCTGATCTCATAATGCGAAGAGGTTGTCTGAAAGCAGGATAGCTGCCCGTGCACGTGCCGCCAGAGCCTCCAAATCTTGGATTACCAAAGAGTAACATTTTGTTACTCGTGCAATCCCAATACATTTCATACACTAGAATTAAATCACGCCTCGTGATGATGGACTAATAGAAAGCATGTTGAGATGTATATTAGGAATTAGCTGCAACATAAATGTGTGTTCTAACTAGGCATGAGTGAGACATGGTGTTGATGGATGTGGCTATACACGTTTTTCAGGGATTAAGGGCATGTGGGCCAGTTTAACGGCACACGGTGAGGAGGGAGATTTGTGTGGATTGCTGTTGGGATGATTTCATGCTTTAGAAAGATTTAACAAAGACTAATTAACTGAAAAGGCCCTTGTTTTAATGGCTGGGAGTGAATTTGTTTACACAGATGTAATACAGGTGTCAGTTCTAAACATTAATCTGACATACCCTACAGTTTTTATCTGAAGGAGAATGTGTCTGTACTTTATTTTATCAAAGGAATTACAGACTAAACTAAATAAATAAATTTTTATTTAGGTCACGCCGACCTATTTTTTTAACATACTTTTTTGTAAGCTACATTTTTATAACACTTCTGTAAGTCAGGGTGTTCGACTCTCCGTGCGACCCCTCGACATGCGCTACTTTGGGGAAATGTGCAGACTGTCTACTGAAGAGACGCGCTACCTCTGGAAGTTTTTATGTTACTGCTTGTTGCATGTTTACCTGACAGTTAGCTTGCAAATGGCTTGTAAAATACCATTGTTATTATACTGTGTAAGAGGGTATAATATGCTGCTTTTAAGCTTAATATATTACCTTTACTTATGACCAATAAGGTGTGATACTCTATATAAAGATAGGGTATCAACCTGATTGGTCTTTGCATGTTTAATCAGAAAAATTAGGATTCTTTGCTTTTTCAGTGATCATAAACACACTTTGTATTAATTCAGACAGAGTCAAGTTCATAAAAAGTAAGAAATTTATTTTCTAAACAAATTAAAAGCACGACAAGCTATAAACAACTTTATGTGATGGATGAATCTAAGTGGATGTAATATGAGGTGTGGTGATGGAATGGTGTGTGATGTTTATCAGAACCTTGTATCTAGAAGAAACTGAGTTCTGGGTGTGAAAAAAATGTGTGGTTGTCATAAGCTGAAGAATTGATTCATCAAAACGGCATCGTGTCGTGCCCACGTACCCGTTCCTGGAGACCCTGTTTGGAACCGAGATGTCAAGGAGTCATTGACCCCAATGCACATGGCTCGTAAGAAAACCTTGATGCGACCAAGTCAGTCCTTGGATGCCTCCCGAGTCACAACAGATAGATGAAATCGTTTGTGTCTAGAACGGTTGGACTCTTAAGGAGTCGGAGCTGTGCCAGCTTTGTTCTGCAGGAACCGTTTGCTGTGTCAGCTGCAGCATGCAACAGGTTTGACAGCTTGTCAAGAGATGCGGTGGGTGGTTAAAGAGTTTTCCTCCGGTGGCCAGTCCGAAGTTCGGCTCAAAACTAACTGAATCAGCAAGTTATTCTGTTTTAACAAATGCCATATTATGATTACATGGCCAACCAGAATTTGACATGCAAAGGGGTTTTACTAACCAACCTCAGATACAGGAGCTCTGATTTGTGGATCAGAAAGCAACGTGTGATGAAATTACTTTAACCTTCTGTATGAGTGTGTGGCTGATTAGCTTGTCAAGTAGACTGATTGTCAGACAAATAGATCATTGATTCATTTCAACCTTATTAACTTAGTCACAGATTAATCAACCTAATTAATTTAAGCACAGATTAATCAAAACATTTCATTTAACCATATTGTCTATTCATTAGATGATTAATTAACTCATGTGAGCTGAAAATGTTCACTTTTATTCAGAGGCAGGAGGAGTTCTGTAGAAGCGATAAGAGGAAGCTTAGGGCCTTGAAACGGGAACTGTTTTCTTGACAATATGTTATCCTGGTTTTCAAAGCTGCAGAGGCCTGGACTTCAGCGGATAGAATAGCAGAATCCAGCAGATTAAAGGCACTAGAAGCAGACTCATGTCTCCAAATGACTGGATACTGAAGAGGTCAAACTATAGGTGAAAAACTGACCATTTCTGGACGCTACAACTGTAAACAAGAAATCATGTCAAACACTGTATATTGTTGCTAATAATTATACTAAAGTTCTGTATTTTATAATGAGTATGTTACTATACTGTCAACAAGAGCGAAACTGTCATAACACGCTGCGGTAGGAATGTTTAACAAGGAAACACGGACAGTCAGAATAAGGGACTCCAGACTAGGGGTTGTATGAACTAGTCGACTAGTCGACTTCACTGCTCTGTAGTGACTTTTTATGCATTTCATCGACTAGTCGCTGTCACGTGATAATGACAGTCAAGATGCAGTCCTCGGGAAAGACAGCAGGTGATGAGCCCCTGTGCGTCGGGAGGCGACGTGCTGTGCCAGAGCGTCGGTACTGACACCCGCCGTAAAATGGGCATTTAACCAAATTGTGACCTTTACCCTCTTGCAATTTAGCCTTCCCCTCACCCCCATCCTAACCTTAACCAGCTTGCGCATGCAAAGCTCTGATCAATGACGCGCTCCAGACATCTGCCTCCTGAGCACGGCCACAGTGACATTATCAAATTAGGTGTCACCACCTCAAAAACAAATTTAACAAGCGATTGTTCATGTCGGCTCATTTCCTTTTATGTGTTTCACTGCTGTGGAGCGAACCATCACTTGTTTTGTCCTCCGGTGATGCACCTCACCAGTGCGGCCGGCGAGCAGCGCGCACTCCGCTGTTTTTGCGATCGATAGATCTTTGAGAACTGCAGTTCAAATGTAACTCATGAGGTGAATATAAATGAACCCAGGTAGCAGTTTTTCTTTAGGATTGAGAGGAGATGCAGGAAGATAATAAACAGAGACAGGACAGAAAAATAGTCAAGTTAGTTTTTGTACCTGGTGGTTGCAACAAACAGACACATTTGAAGGTAATCAGAAGTGAGGAACAGAAAAAGAAATAATTATTTTAATGTTTAGAGCAGCAGCGACTCTCAGAGGCTGCAGGCGCATCAGTGAGTTTGCGGCCGCTGCGCAGGGGGAGGGGGGAGAGGGCTGAAGCGGAGCAGTATAGATGCAGGCACTACCATTGTTAAAAGAGATGTGTTTAACTTAGAAAATGTGGGCGCAATTTTAATTGTCAAAAACTCCTGCGAGCCAACCGACCCACCCACCCCCACCCCCCCGCCGCTTCAGGTGTATGACATCATCAACAACTAGTCAAAGTCGACTCGATTGTCATTACTTGACTGTCGACTTAAAAAAAACTAAGTCATGCAGCCCCTACTCCAGACCGCTTTACACCACAATCATTCACTCACTGATCCTGATGGGTTGGCCACAGCAGCCCTGGAGCACAATGACAGAGGCGAGGCTTGCATACACAGATGCCACTGGTCCCTCTGACCACTACCAGCAAGCTAGGAGGATGAAGTGTCTTGCCCAAGGACACAACAGCTGACATGGACAGAGCCTGGGTCAGAACCGGCAACCCACTGCTTACCGAGCTAAGTCCAAAAACCTGGATCACATCCCCTTCAAAGGAGCCTCCCACCATCTTTATGCAGATGACATCCAACTGTACATCTCCTTCAAGTCCCATGAGATGTCTAAGCTGCAGCTGTTCTACACCTGCTCAGACTCTATTAAAACCTGGATGGCTGGGAACTTTCTACAGCTGAGTGAAGATAAGACTGACCAGCACCAGAGCATTGGGACTGGATAGCACATATACTTCAGTCCAATGGGATTTGGTTTTCCAGCCACAAACTGCAGAACAGGACATTAACCTGTGAAGGGAATCATCTGTTCTTCCTTGGTCATGGCAGCTTAAGGCAACCTTGTTGCAGCCTGCCTATAAGGTCTCACCTTCCTTTTCTTTTTTCCTCCTCAGAAACATCAAGATTATCGGTGACTTTAATTAGTGTCTAATCTTAATCTGTTTTCAGACAGACTAAATTCTTATCCTCATCTTTGCTGGAGTATCTGAGACGAGCCATGTACATGGAGATACTACAGATGGGTTTGATCTCATCTAGAGTGGAGCTAAGGCTGGCCTCTAGCTGGTCAGTGTGATCTGTCATACCTGTGAAGGGTAATCTATGTACCGTTTAGAGTAATACAGTATGTGACTGAAGCCAGTGTTTTCCTGCACGATATTCTCCTCCGCAACAGGTCTGAAACTAAATTAAGAAATAAAAATGAGGGTTATAGTTTGAAGCAATATGGTGAGTAAAAAGGCATTATTGGTATTACAGATTTTCTTGATTGCTTAAACATTATAACCAACTTTTGAACTCAAATTCCAAAACCATGATGCCATTTTTCAAAAAGCACACCCTTTCCCCTGAACCATACACACTCCCAGGGACGAAATTTTGATTTCAGAAGTGGGGGGGACACAGCAGGCTTGTGCGGATTTGGGGTGGGGGGTGTTATGTAAAGACCCCTTGACACGTCACGTGCCCATCTCAATAATTTTCCATCCTCAATATATATATATATATATATATATATATATATATATATATATATATATATCAAAGTTAAAAAATGTACAACTCTATTATTATTTTTATTTATTATCATTATTGAAGTGCAGTTTTGGCTGTTGACAATGGATAGGCCATTGTATTTATTGTTTTGGGTCTTTTTTTATTGTTTTTGGTGCAACATTTTCTAACAGGGAGTGAGATTCCTTTTTTATTTAATTTTTGTTTGTTATTTTTATTCATTTAGAAGTTCTGGTTCTGGACATTTCAATGTTAAATGAAGGTTTATTTGTTGCATTTTAAAGGGTGTACTTGCATTATTATGATATATTAACATTATATTAGTGGTTATTTTGGTCTAGATAAT